CCTATAGCACCACACAAGGACTCTCCTAAAGAATATATTGTTGTTGTTCAGTGCCATTGAGTTGGTACTGACTCATAGTGACCCTGTATAGGGTTTCTGAGGAGTGGCTGGTGGATTTGAACTGCCAACCTTGTAATTTGCAGTTCAGTGCTGATCCTATAGCACCATATCAGGGGTACGAAAATATATATAAGGAATATATGTTGTTGTTGTTAAGTACTGTGAAGTCGGTTCCGACTCATAGTGACCCTGCATAGGGTTTCTGAGGCTGTAAATCTTTATGGGAGCAGAATGCCTCATCTTTCTCCAGCACATTAACCCACAGAGCCACACCAGGACTCCAGGTAACATGACTTACTGACAAAATGTTAAGAGATGAGTGTCACAATAGAAGCCTAACATCACTGACATCCTCTCATGTTGTTTGTTTTCTTTTAGGGAGAATATATGGAGAGTAATTTTCTGTGTGTATCATATGATTAGTAGACAAAATTGGAATTAGAATTTTCAACAATATAAAGAGAATTTATGTAGCACAAGAAAAGAAGAGCACAATATAGTGAGCATATCATGTTGAACTCTGTACTAGTAAATTTTCTAAAATCAAATGTTGTTCTAACCTTCAGTCAACTTAAATTACAGGCTTGTGTAAATGATGAGGGTAAAGAAAGCAATTATGTTAAAAATCGATAGACTCCTTCTCTCTTAAATGTCCTCATTTAAAAATGCCATTTATTCCTAATCTGTCCTCTTAAAATGAAACTGAATTTCAAAGTTATTGGCACAGTTATATTCATTTTAGTGATTAATTATGATACTAATGAAATCCCATTTTTAAAAATTCTTGATATTTCAAAATCTAATTATAGACCACTTATTCATTTGTTGTTTTTCTTTAGCATAAACAAGAATTAAAATTCATCTGAAAGAGGCTAACTGTTTTGAAAGAGTTTAATTGGTTTGCAAAAAGCCCTATGCCAAAATTAATTTTAAAAACCCTGAAGACAGTTGAAAAAGTACCCTGCAAGGTAATTTATTACTTTTGGCAGCAGAAATGATTGTGTAGTGTATGCTGATGCCTCAAAACTCATTTATTTTATGCATCAATGTGTAAACATTATGTTTCCAATTTTACTCTGGAATGGTATTTAATTTCATGAGGCCTGTGATTCACAGTCCCTTGGTTCTATCTCAAACATGTCTACGTCCTCCATCTTGCAACAGTTCTGGTTTCTGCACCCTGTCATATATAACCTTTGTGCTAATTTGGAAAGCTCGGTTCTCACGTTTAGTGCTGAGAGACTGATAACTGAATTCTCGCATGAGCTACACATTTTCAGAGATGAAATACAGAGCTGCGGACAATGACTGTGCTTTCCCACAGTGTCAATTCTTCAAACTCAGCTGTCAACATGTAAGTGTGCCCCACAAAAGGAGCTTTAATTTAACATTTTGTTTTGTGTTTTTTTTTTTTTCTCCAAGTTCATAAAAATGAAATGGATACTATACTCTCCTTTATGTTACTCCATTTTATAATGGGATTTTATTTCTCAGGGACAATGAAAGCCTCTATGCCCTTTAGAATTCTTAGTAGATAAAAGTCTCCTTCTTTCTAAATAAAAATAAATATTTTTCCTCCTACATAAATATTCCTGTTTCCAAACAGACTAGATACCAATGTTAAAAATGTTTTTTTTTTTCTTATTAATTTTGCCTTCTTGAGTATGAAACTTTAAAATAAGTCCTTATCCTTTAGTATTATGAAATAATCATCACTTTATTTGAATATAAACTGTGGTCAGTGGGAACTATGTTGTGATATAAATGCTACGGAATGACAGATATATGAGGGTGCTTCAAAAAGTTTATGAAACAATGCCTTTGTTTTATGGTTGTGTTTTCCCAGAACTTTTTGAAGCCCCTTTGTATATACAACTGAACATAACAGAATCTGAAAGTAAATTCTAAAGTCAAAATATGAACAAATTTCCTAGGGAAACACAGTTGTTTCAGTGTTATTCTTTACAGAAGAAATTCCATTTAAACTGAGCCTATATGACCCCTAAGGAGCTCTCGTAGTATAGTGGTTACGAGTCAGGCTGCTAACCTCAAGGTCAGCAGTTTGAAACTACTGGCTGTTCCATGGGAGAAAGGTGAGGCTTTCTGCTCCAGTAAAAATTTACAGACTTGGAAACCCTATGCAGGGTCATTATGAGTCAGAAGCGACTCCATGGCACAACACCACCACCTCCACTCCTGGTGTGGTTCTGTAGGATGAGCACTGGACTTCGAACTACAAACTCTGTGGTTCAAACTCAGCAGCTGCTCCCCGAGAATCCTATACAAGGTCGCTATATACAACCAACTCTAAGGCATTCACAACATATGACCAAGTATGTTTTTTCAAAGATGCAAGAAAAGAAGGATATTTCTAACCAAAGAGATTAGATGATGTCAGTGAGCATAGTATTTTCAAATAGTGAGCATAAAAAAATACTTGTGGGAGTTTGCTTTTTAGAAAAGTCTAGAAAGTCATTATTGATCTTTAGAGGGAGCACTTTCATACGAACATGTTATTTGATTTAAGTAAGCTGGAAAGTGACTAAAGATAGTAAAAAACTCGAGATAACAAGTATTAATCAGGTTATGGATTTAGTCATATGGGGCTTTGTGCCAATACAGAATTAAAAGAAGGGTTTTGAATAGCACAAGTGAACAAGTGTGAAGGTCTAGTACAAAAATAAGTGGTGAAGAGGAGACAAAAATAGTAAAAGAAATGTAAATAGGTAGATTTCTGGAAGAACGTCAATGTAATTAAGAGCACAGGCAGATGCACCAAACTTGGCAGCTAAAGAACACACCCTTCTCCTTAATACATTTAAAAAAATAGAAAAATCATAAATGATATGGCAGGAGGGAAGAGCTATCACTTGAGTTAAGTTGAAGTTCGTTATGTATATTGAATAGTCATTTTGAAGTACCTGGCAATACAAAACAAATATTGATACATAAAACTCACAGTCACCTGAAGTTACAAATAGATTTTCCATATATAGAATTGTGATTTTTCTCTACCAAGCCAACAAAGAATAGAAGTAATGAAATGAACTTTGAGGTTGCCGGGTCCTAAGAACAGGCAAAGCAAGTGCAGCAGAAGTTCAAAGGATGAGATAACCAAGCATCATACTATGGAGTAAGCTCTATTCCTATTCATCAATCATGTGAAACCAGAACAAACTTCATGGACTGGGAGACTGGGCAACTTTAATTTGTAGATTGGAAACTAAAGATAAATATGGATTAATAATTGTTTCTTAATAAAACCATGAGAATATTATGGGTATTTTTATAAAAATTCTTTGATGAATGGGCTATTGTGTGCTGTTGAATTGTGACTGTGTAGAGATTTAAAAAATAAACTTCTAGATGAGGTAATGTAAGGATTATTTGATTCAAAATAAGAATCCTAATAGTATATACTTTGTTATTGTTGTTTTTAAGTACTATCAAGTCAGTTCCAACTCATAGAGACCTTACACAGGTTTTCTGAGGAGTGGCTGATAGATTTGAACCACTGACCTTGTGGTTCAAACTGACTTTTTGGATCAGTGCTTATCCTACAGCATGACACCAGGACTCCATCAGTATTTACTTTAGTAAAGTATTTACTTTGTTATTGTTGCTAAATGCTGTTGAGTTGGTTCTGACTCATAGCAACCCTGTTTAGGGTTTCTAAGGAGCAGCTGGTACGATTGAACCACTAACCTGTTGTTCAAACCAACCTTGCCATCCAGTGCATTAAAATTTAGCATTTTATGCTTTGCTAAATTATATATATAGCTATATGTGTGTGTATGTGTGTGTGTGTGTATTGGGTGTGTGTATAGATAAGAACTGGACTGTAAACTACAAGGTCAGCTGTTTGAGTCGATCAGTCACTCTGTCAGAGAAAGATGAAGATTTCTGCTCCTGCAAAAGATTTACATCCTCAGAAACCCTATACAGGGTCACTGTGCATCAGAAAGACTCCACATCACTTAATAACAACAACAATATATATGGCACCCTGGTGGAATCCTGGTTTTGTTATAGGATAAACATTGGGCCACAAAGTCAGTTTGAACCACAAAGTTGGCAGTTCAAACCCACCAGCAAGTCATCAGAAACCCTGTACATGGTCACTGAGTCGGAATTGACTCAACAGTACTTAACAACATCTGACACACTGGATTAAGCATTGGGCTGCCTACCACAAGTTTGGTGGTTTGAACCCACCAACCACTCCTTGAAAGAAAGATGAGGCTCTCTGTTTCTGTAAAAATGTAAAGTCTCAGAAACCCTAAGGATTTTTGGTGTGTCCTACAGAGCTGTTATGAGTTGGAATTCACTCAGTGGTAGTAGAAACTGGGTTCTTGTGCCAAAACTTTAATTAATAGGTTTCATAAAATATTAGCTTTAATTTGCTTCCCTATAAAGAAGAAGCGGGAGCATTAGGATGAGTAAAGGAGAATCTAATTATTAAGAAAATTGATGTATTTGAAATATTTAAAACATTGCCAATCAATGTGATGCTATTATTAGTGTTATGATTTTTTTTTATTATTCAATAAGTAATATGGTCTCTTAAGTCAATAGTGAGAGATTAGAAGAAAGAAAATACTTCACTGTGAGATTTGTTGTGGGACCCCTAGAAGACAGGATTGGTGAGTCATCTTATCTCTTTCCATTGCCTCCCTTCCATGTGTCCAGACCACAACTTTCCATAACTAGCTACTGAGAAACTTCAATTTTGGCATGAAGTAAATATTATCCTACAGTTTTAATCTCTTTTTTCTCATTTTGCCCAATTTTCTCACACCCACAATCATGAAGTCACCACCATTAGCTCAACATCTTACTAAATCTCCAGTTAGAGTGTATAAACTGGAAAGGGAAAGTTTTCCATTGACGTAATACAGTTACACCTGCTATGAATCTATGCTGTTGTGCACACCACTCACCATTCAGCCACCTGGAATCGTGCTGCTCTGTTCTGATGGGATGGTGGTGCCCGAGAGTTCGGAAGATAGCAAAGTCTCGCCCCATAAAGTCAGCTGCAGTGCCAGAGTATAATTCTCCATCTGTATTTGAAAAAAGGAAATCACATACACATCACTTACTTCAATCAAGACAAGGAAAATGAAACAAACAAAAAGCTTCATGTGATAATCATGCTAAAAAGAAAATAGAAATTTTATTTTCATCATCACTTTTCATATATCTTTACAGAAAGGTATATTATATCAATTAATAATTTACTTGTTATTTGACTATTCATTGAATACCAAATACAATCTGGTTCAATGGGCTTGCTAAATCATGAAATTGTTTATCTTTCTACTGTTGTTTTTAAGTGCTATCAAGTCAAGTTGCTTTCTTCTCATAGAGATCCTGTTAAGGCTTTCTGAGGAGCAGCTGGTGAATTTGAACCATAGACTTTGCATTCAAACCAACCTTATGGTCCATTGCTTATCTTACAGCACACATGTCTTCTATTAGAATCAGTGAAAAACTCACAAAATGCAACATGCAACTATATTTAATACAGCATTTGTTTTTATGCATTTAAAGCTACTATTATTCTAATATCCTTATTTAGTGCACTAAGGTGTTTTGACTAAATCCTATTGTAGTTTTAATTTTAATAGAAATTAAATTTCTAGTATATTTGTCAGTGATATGAATTAATTCGATTTTGGTATAATTTTTAAAAGATTGATGTTTTCCTTGCTAGATGTCTTATCCTTGTTTTTTTTTTTTTTTCTTTTCTTACTTTTGTATAATAAGCAGGATAATTATATTAACCTGGAATCAAGTATCACCCAATTCAACCACAAGTTTACCACATGACCTCAGATAGTATAGAAATTTGTTTGAAACTGAGGCAATTTAGAAAATCACAGGCTATAATCACTACAAAATTATAAAAACTGATATTGTGTATTGTTGTGATTTAAGGTTCCATTGTTCATTAACTCAGTCCTACTTAAGTTGAATTAACTCTAGGTGAGAGTTGAAAAATGCAGGAATCATAATCAGAGCTAAGGAGTAGAAGAGAAAAAAAAAAGAAGTGGGGAAGAAAGGCAAGTTAATAATTACTGAATGCCAATCTGTGCTTGTCAGGCAGCAAGTACTGGGCTTGACGCTCTTAAATTATCTCGCTGGGTTCTGTCAACAGCTCCATGATGTAAATATTGCTATCCCTATTTATAGTTCAAGAAACTCAAGGTTGCTCAGCTAATGACTAAGAAAGTCAAGGTGAAGGTTCAAACCCAAGTTTGTTTAATCACAACCCTGTTACACTAAACCCTAATACTCCTTCAATGAATTGCAGTTTGTAAAATGTATGCTTTCTTTTCTCTAAATAGAAAGTGCTTCATATTATTGTTTTACAGAAAATGCATGGTAAGACTACCATGTTGCTCAGTAAAACCAAATACAATCTGATTCATTGAGCCCCGAGAAGCATGAAATTGTACGCCTTTCTGTTGTTGTTAGGTGCTATCGAGTCGGTTCTTTCTCACAGAAGGAACTGTACTGCTCATCTACAATGAATTATTTATAAAGCAAAACACAATTTGTAAAAATTTCCCCAATCCAGGATATTAGAATGAAACTCAATATTTTATTGATTATTTTAGGTATATTAATGTTTTGCATTCATTGATTTGGAAAACATTTAGAGAATAAAGAGGGCATACATAAATTATAACTTAAACAGTTTATGTAGCACAACCATTTCTAAGTGATTTTCACATTTGCTAGATAAAAGGGAAACTTTCTATGACTCCTTAATTATAAAGGTATCTAGGAAATTCTCACTAATTTGATTCCTTATATAATATTTTTGTTTATATCTTAAATTTCCACTTGCAAGTATGGACTTTGTAATATAAAGTAAACATTCCCAGAGATCCAACCTAAAACAGTTCCTTTGGTAGAAGCTGAATTTATCTTAAAGTCCAGAGCAATGGAGACTATCTACTCAGGCAACATCCAGTTAATGTTTTCAAGATGAATAGAAAGCAACCTATGCTGACAACTAAGTAGTAAAACAATGATCATTTATTTTATGTTGTTGTAAATTAAGAATAATAAACACTAACTAGAAAATATATGTAATACAAATTATTAGCTAAATGAAGAGGGATCATATGTCATTTTAATGGTTGCAGTATGATATCTTTGGATTCAAAATCATTTTACATTCTCTTCACTTAGTTAAATATCAAACTCACATCTGACTTACTCTAACCATAATTTATGCAATTAATATACTTGACCAGAAGTCAAAGAAGAAGAAACTCTGTTCTAAAATCACACAAAAATTCTGTAAAAAAACTATGTATAAATTTCAAAGGAATCTCAAAATATTTAAATTTATAATATTTCTTAGTGCTAATCTAGCCTCAATCATCATAACATTTTTATTAAGGCTAACACTCTGTTTATAAATAATTGATAAATACAAGATATAGATTTTTAAACTTAAGATGTTTCTTGGTCTATGTGGAAAAGAAGGTGTTAGATACAAAAGTGTTGGTACAGCAGCTTAAACTGTTCATGCCAATTACAGAGATTTTCATGTTGGAATACTAGTCAAAGATACCTCAGGTTTTTCTTTTGAAAAATCAAAATATTAAATTCTTAGTGGAACTCTGTTGTCTTTGAAATATGAGATTGGTAATTGAACAAAGAAAACAAATGAAAAAAGAACAATCAAAAGATGAAAACGTCAACAATACATATCCGAAGGTAGACAGACAATATCCTAGAGGATGGGTATTCAGAAATAGAAGATTTAAAAACTCTCATTATTTAGTGGTTTAACATTGATTTTTTGGTATTCAGTTTATTTTAGGGTAAGACAATGCCTCAATAATGATTGTTATGATTAATATATAAATTGAGGGAGGTGGTTAAAAAAAACAAACAAACAAAAAAAAACAACAACAAGGAAACTGTTACTTGGATTCAGAAACTTGCTTTTGTTAGATATTTTATAATGTGTATTTTTATAACTTTATTATTAACACACTTTTTATATACTCCTATAAAAGGACTCCTGGTGTGGTGCTATAGGTTAATGCACTGGACTGCAAGGTCAATTTGAACCACAAGGTCATTGGTTCAATCTCACCAGCTGCTCCTCGGAAACCCTATACAGGGTCTCTTTGAGTTGGAAACTATTCAAAGGCACTTGACATGTGAAGAGGGCATAAATCAATACAAATGAAGGCATAAACAGTTAAGGCTAATTTTCTTTCTCTTTTGCAACAGATGAGAAGGTCTTCAGAGAAAGACTCAGTAGAAGAGCTGACTAACTCATTACTAAAAACAGATTTAAACAATCGACATGAGCTAGAGGAAGATACAACTCAGGCTTCATTTGCTTCTAGTCATAGAAAACGACCCCTCTCTCCATATGAATATTATTTTGGGCTTGGGTCAGAATGACTTCTGTGAGCTCAAGAGTGCTAGCTGATTAGGTGGCCATTGATGATGCTCATGCTCAATATTTGTTTCTCTGTGCTTGGTTTTAGGTCTGATTTACTGCTGAGATTTCTATAGCAAAGATTGTTCCAGATAAATTATGGCATCTTTGTTGTTTTGACTGCCAGAAGAACAAACAAATCTGTCTTGGAAGAAGTTCAGACAGAAGAAGGGATGGCAAGACTTCGCGTCTCATATTTTGGACATGTTGTCAGGAGAAATCAGTCCCGGGAGAAGGATATAATGCTTGTTAAAGTGGAGGGTCAGCAAAAAAGAGGAAGACAGTGAGACGGATTAACACAGCAGGAACAACAATGGCCTCATACATAACCGCAACTGTAAGGATGTCGCAGAAGCTGATGATGTTTCATTCTATTGTGCATAGGCTTGGTATGAACCAGAACCAACTCGAGAGTAGCTAGCAACAACAAGCCATAGTGACATCGTAGGATAAGCACTGGACTGCTAACTGCAAGGTCTTAGGTTAAAACCCACCAGACTCTTGTGAAAAAAACATGAGCCTTTCTGCTCTCGTAAGACTGAACGCCTCAGTCGCCCTAGGAAAGGTCACTATGAATAGGAGTAGACTCAATGACATTCGCTGTCATTAATGAAATTACCAAATTATATGTTGATTCTTGAGCTTTGTGTTAATTTTGTCGATTTTATGACCTTAATAGAACTATTCTTGTAAATCTGAAATACATTAGATTAATGCTAGTCTAAAGATGAGGCTTTCTACTCCCGTAAAGATTTACACCCTCGGAAACCCTGTACAGGGGTCGCTATGGGTCGGAACCGACTCGACGGCACTTAACAACAACAACAACAACATCATCGCTATGAGTCAGAACCTACTCCACGGCACATAAAAACAACAATGATGATTCAAGTGGCATTATGATTCAGATGCACACTTCAGGACTTTTCATATATATTAAGGATTTTTTGTTGTTGTTGTTAAGAGCTGTCCAATCAGCTCCAACCCATAGTGACCCTGCATAAGGTTTCCTAGAAGCAGCTGGTGGGTCTGAACCACTGACCTGTGGTTAGCAGTCCAGTGCTTATCCTACAGAAGAAAACATATTTATCTAATTTCATAAAACTGATGGTGGGAGAATATATTTGGGGAATTGTATGTATCAAAAAAATCAGGGGTGTAAACTCTGTCCAACAAGTCACCAAACCTCTAAAAAAATATATAGAATATAATGCATTGGACTAGGATAAATTAGTGCTGACAGATGGATCCAACCATCTAGAAATTGTGAAATACAAAGATTGCATTTGAGTGCATCACCCACCATTCTTTCTTAACTGTAAGGTTTCTTAACTGTCTCTGAGGAAAGCCTTCTTTACTGAGAAGAACAAAGTGTAATGGATTGCATTTCCTCCATGGTTGACATACCAAGAGACACATGTATTAAACTGAAGTTCATACACATTCTGAACTTTCTGTTCACAGCTCAAAATGAAGTAAAAATGTGGCTTAGATCAGTTAATGTATTGGATTACAATTCCTAAGAAGGGTGTGGTGAGGAGAAACAGAAGGCAAAAAAACATTTCCTGATGAAACTGAAACATTACT